CTTTAGTTCAGCATTCTTGGCCAGCAAAGAAAGGACCTCGGAGTGGATAACCTTCAACGTCGCTTTAAAATCGGCAGAAAGATTGAGCGACGGAAGCGTCAATGCTTGCTCCAACTTCGCACTCAAGTGCTCAAGTTTATTCTTGTGTCTGGCGGCACTAGCCCTTCCAATATCCATATCTATGAAGGATACGTACTCAAGTATCGACTCCTTGAGGAACTTCAAATCTTCCTTTGAAGAAACAGCAGGATGATCAGATGGAGCAAGGCGAGACGTCTGGACTTGCCCCCAGGAAGCGAATAAGTTTTGGATAGAACGCACAATTTTGTCAGCATCCTGTAAAGAAAATTGCCAATATTAAAGATCCTCACTACAACGAACAAGATGGAAATAGGAGTGAAGCAAAGACCACCTCATCAACAATCGTAGAAGATGGCATGCCCTCAGCCAAGCTTGCCACCAACGACTCCTCCATTCGTGAGGACTTCCCCTTATCTGAGTGAGAAGATGTTGTCACAGCGGGTAGACTCACAGGAGTATCTGCAAAACTCAAGAGCAACAAATCAGGAACCAACAGCACAAGCAAAGGTAAGACATCAAAAGACTGAATTACCTTCTGCTTCAATGTTTGGGGGGTTGACGCCCTGGTAAGAAGGTAGCTCATCCATGGGTTGTGATGAGGACTCTGGGACTGAAGATGTCTCTTTAAGCGTAGCCCCCTCATCAACCGGTTTGGATGAAGTAGCCTTAGCAGAGGATGATGGAACAGGAGCTGTCGATGCCAAAGCCTTTGAAGGAGAGGCTGAGCTTTTCTGAGAAGTCCAAAAGATCATTAGCACACAGAAAAGTTTCAAATGTGGAAAAGTATAATTGTACGTAAACCAATTTAATTACCTTCCTCCTGACGATAAGAGGGGCATCATCATCATCATCAACATCATCCTCCAGAATGGGAGATGCTGAGGCTGGCCGTTTGCAGTTTGGAGCACTCTTGGCTGTAGTAGGCTTGACAGGGAGAGAAGAAGATGGACGAGCAGACTGTTTAGTGCGACGAGTAGGAGAGGGACTCCGAACGGACAAAGGAGTGACCAAAACAGGAGGAGGAGAAGAAATGATCGGTTGGTCTAATGAATGAAAGGCACTATTGGCATCAGTCGCAAATAATCAGCGCTTCACCGACGGCCAGAGTTGTTCAAAAAGAGGGTGAATGGCGTGGCTAGAATTGAAAGGGGCTAATGAAAAATGGCTGGTTAAAAGAAGATTAAGAGCATCTATAGCCTCTGCCTCTGCCTTCGCCTTAGTAATGGTAAAAAAACAGTCAACTAAGTTCCTTGAATAGTAAGGAGGAACAGGCCAAGTTTGGCCAAAACCAAGCTGACGAGCAAAAAATTGGGGAGCATAAATCTCTACCACCGCTTTGGCATTGGTCCCAGTTAGAATATCATGAAATAGCTCCCTCCCGGTTAAAAACTGGATCCAAATGAGCAGGGAGGTGCTCGCACTATTTATAGTGGAAGGGGGATGTACATAGTTTGGAGTCAAAAAAGGAGGAAAAGGAAAAAAGGAAGGGATTGAATCCAAAGAATAAAAGAATGAAAAAATGTCCTTTCTGGACATATTTACAGGAGCTAAGGGCTCCATGGCTAGCCCATAACAGCTAGCAGAGGAGCGAGAGATGGATAGAGCACCAAGCGATGGAAAATAGGATTTCAACCACAGTTGAGTGAACCAAAGAGGTCCACTGCCAGTGGGAGATGCACCATTCTTCAATTGAGCTTGAAGAGAGGCCATGCCTCTATAAAGGGCAGCCAAAAACAAAGAACATAAATTCAAAGGCCTGCCACGCGCCAATTCGTGCGCTATAGGTAAATAACTCAGGGAGGGCTTTATGCTTGGCACACACAAAACATATTTACAAAGCCAAACTAGAAGGAAGGCCACTCGCTCAGCATGGGAAGGTTCAGCGCTCGGATGATTGTGAAGGGTTTGCAGGCTTGAATAAGAATCGGTGTAGTTTTTACCAAACTTTGGGGCGCTACCAGAAACCAAGATACCAGGAAAAATGGTATCGCCCAAAGGTGGTAGATTCACCAGGGCCCCAACATCCCTTAAGGTAATAGACATGGGGCCAAGAGGGAAAATAAATGTGTTATACTCAGGAGACCAAAAACTCAAAGCAATCGAAAAGAGTGATGAATCAAAAGTAGGGGGGCGAATAGAGATTTCTAACAAATCAGAAATCCTAGTGCTATCAAAAAGTGCCTTAGTAGGACCATGACCTACAAGGCGAGCATGCCACCTATGGAATGCTACATCAGATTTAGGCCAAGTGCGAATACCTCTTTCGCGAAGTGGCCCCAGCGGTAGAGAGTTCATAAATGGTGGGCCTTGAGTGCAAGGAAACAGCTGACCCACCGCCACCTGTTCAACTGCCTCTGCATTGTTGAAGAAAGGACCCAAGTAGAACTCATTACGTTCAACGTCGGCGGGCGCGAGGAAACTCGGAGTTATGTATGGACGACTCAGGAGTTTCTGAAAGTCATTGAAACTAAAGGAGTCGTCAGCTTGAGATTGTGAAGTAGCCATTTGAGATGGAACGAAGTTTTTCAGGGTTACGTAGCAGGGAAGCAAAGGATGAACAAATCTTGAGAGAGACGCGAAAAATTTGAGGCGTGATTTAGTGGTGCAGTGAAATGACGTGTTTGGGGGTTATAAGGGTTTGCAAAACGACGCACCTTTTCAAGTTATAAAAGAAAATAATGATTGAAATTTTTGGGAATTTCGAATGTTGCTGGAAACACAAAGTGAATATGGCAAAATTTAATAATTATTATTAATTCTGCCATATTGGAGGGTAATTGTTGACACATAAAAATTCAGCCCAAATCGAACAGCCCAAGAAGTGAAGCCCAATTGGAGGATCCCCAAATCAGATAGCCCAAAGAACGAAGCCCAATCGAACAAATCAAGATGAAGGCCTAAATAAGAAGGCCCAAGAACATGGTAACGCCATCGCCCAAGCTTGCAAGTCGCCCAGAATCTGAGCGAATGGAGTGTCATACAGTCGCCCAAAGCTGTTACTCTATTCTCGCCCAAACCTTCAAGTCGTCCAAGGTCTTAACAAACATAAAGCGTCGTGGTTATCAAGAAGTGCATTTATCAAAGCGGTTATTAAAGCAGCCCTATCACGTTCCACGATTTAAGGAACTCAATCGAAAGCGGTTGAACGATGAAGAGTAATGGCAGCAGTTAAAAAAGGCAGTTTTCATGACAAGTTGGCCATTACGAAGAAAGTGGGCAGTTATAGGACGATCAAACAGTTTTTAGGGCGGTTGATCACAAATAGATCGTCCATGAAATATAAAAGGGAGAAAGGACATAGAAGCAAAGAACCGAATCCAAAACTTTTGAACAGAGAACATGTAATTTTCATTTCCTTACTTTTTAGACTTAAACACTTTTCTTTCAGTAACTCGTGTGCTTGCGCCCCTTGGAGGCACGTTGTTTTTCATTTCCAATTGTAAAGTCATCGCCAATAAAAGAACACCCCTTTTTGGGACTTTGTCTCAAGAGGTTTGTCCCTTACACAATCGTCTGATCCTTTTTAATTGTTAGCGACTAACCCGCGCGAAACAAGTATCTAAAGCATGTTCGGTAGTGATTATGAGAATTAATTTTTTGACCGTTAGAGAGAAAAGTAGGCCTCATCTGTAAGTGAAGAAGTAAAAAATGACGACAAGAATAGTGAAACAACGGTTAAAAATTAATTTTTTTGGGTGAAAAATTGCTACCAAACGAGGCCTAATATTGTTGAAATGTCACAACAATTTTTTTTTTTAATTTCTTTCAGTATAATGGCCACGTACGATCGTTGTTTGAAATGTCATCAAATTTGTTGTTTATAACAATGGATGAGATGTCGTGACTAATGCTGTGTAAATATCAATATTCGATAATTTAAATTTAAAAATCATTTGCAAGTAACCAGGTAAGTCGGGGCCCTTTCTAATTGAGTTGGTAAAGAATACGCATTGGAGCCATTTCTAATTGAAAGTTAGTGCACGAGAAAAATAGGTATCAATATTTGAGTTGGAATCAAATTATTACTTGTGAGACATTGGGGCCCTTTCTATTAAAAGTTATTGCACGCGTAAATAACTTTGGCTAAAAGAGTCAAAAAGTATAACAATCACATGTGATTGCTGGTGGATTGAATTGACAAGTCCTACAAAAATCAGCTATATTCTTCCCCAGGGAAATTTCATGAATATTGATGAAAAAAATTGTCTACTATTTAGAATTCAACAAAAATATTAGGAAAAAAATGCTCAAACTTTAAGCTGTCCTTTTTACAAAAATGACCACATTTTTTAACGGGTCAGACATCATTCATGATGGAGTTAGGGACACTATTGGGTGATTAAGATTTGACGTGTTGAGGTGGCTTATGCATTCAATTCATGTCTTTTTTACTTCAATGGAATAAGGGATTTCAAAACTATAAAAGTATATATCATCTATAAGAAATATTAGAATATCATTTAAGTTGTATTTTAAACAATTTGATTAAATTTTGATGGTAATGATTCTTGATCTTGTTGATCAAATATTCTTGGGCGTTCTTTTAATTTTAATAGATATGTCACAAATGTTTTCAATTTATTTTGGTATAGCAGTGTACGATCACTGCTTGCAACATCGAATTTGTTTGTTGATACAAACCGAATGAGATGTAGTGACTAATGGTGTGTAAATATCAATATCAATAATTTAAAATTATGTTGTGTGAGTGTAATTTGAATTAAATGTTTCATTATCCACCGAACTTAGTACCATGTCATGGACTGGCCACTGAACTTCCAAAGTTGTCCCACTAGCCACCGAACTTCACTCCATCCAACTCCATCAATCACCCATTTAAAATCGTTAACAGACACGCCTACGTGGATGACAGTAAGTTGAGTTGGCAGTTAAATACTTCCAAATACGAACTTAATTGCCAAGTCAGGTCCAAATCACCATTGCCAAACACGCCTTTCATAATATAATTACACACTTTGATTTAATAGAACAACATGCGTCTCTTACCATTTCTTTGAACAAACCAGAGATTTATGAAAGGACGTCCCCAAATCTACTTCAAGGGACATTCGAAACCCTAAGCCCCAAATCAAGAATATCAATTACCCAACCATTGTTGATCACTCGACGAGCCAAGCCAAAGAGTGGAGAAACAACACCCATTTCATTTCATTACATTTACGTCGGAGCAGTTGATGTGCAGATGGAAGGTAATTCCAAACCTTTTTTTTTTTTTTTTTAAAATTTAGGTATGAAGAGGTCATTGTCTAAAGATTTTGTAGTTGATTCTATGTGTATTTTGTTGTTTCCCATTACGCATAATCTGTCTTCGTATCGTGTGGGGTTCTGATTGTTATATACGGGTTAATTTTTGTTCCAAAATTTGTCATATTGAAATCCATCTGTGAGATTGACTTTTCCCACACTTATATTGGCTGGAAAAATTGCAAGATGTTCATTTTAAGACAGCACAATGAAGCCACATGTTGTCATTTCGAGTAATGCTATTTATCATTATGATGATAAATCAGCTGGCAATATAGATGGAGTAATGGGATTGGGTGGTTTAATTTACATGAGAGAAAGATTTAAACCACCCAATCCCATTACTTCAAATATATCGCCACATCACCACTGATTTATCATCATGATGATAAACAACATTATTCATTTCAAATTGATTATCTAAAAGGCTTAAGAAAAGGAAAATGGAGAAAAACTTAACAAATGAAAAAGGGTTAAGTCAATCGGTCAAGACCCCTCTTCCCCATAACCTCCATGTTCCCCTTCCAGCCATCCTAAAAAAAAGTCAATTGAACCATCAGCTCCAATACTAGAGAATAATGGCACTGTAAATGCTGCAGATATTCTAGCTGAGTGGCTGTTGAAGATTTCATTTCAGATCCAAACATAAATTAAAATGTGGATGAAATTGATGGTGGGTTGTGGTTGTAACTTGACATTGTGAGATGATGTGTCTTAGATGGTGTCTTGGGTTCTGACTTTTGAGGAATGCTTTTGGAGGTGGGTGGTATTGGTGTCGCAAGTAAATGGGTAAAATGAGTTTGACAGCCCAGGCCTTTAGCGGCTTGGTCCTTATTTGCATGAATTGGTTGGCCCCTCTAGAACCTGAGCAATGCTAGGCTTCCTTTTAAATTTATTTTTATTTTTAAAGTTTGAGAGTTAAATGTATTGTTGCTTACTGTGGGCATGTGGCTTAATTGTATGACATATTTTGAGGAAGATCCCGACTTCGTAGAATCCGACCATGACTTTGAGTCCGAACAAGATGACAACGAATATGATAGACATGTAGCTAATGGATTGAAATAGGATTGGACTACCATCAAGATGAAGTTCAGGACCAACGAGAAGAGGGTGGTGATAACGAGTTGGATGAATTGGAACTACCGTAGTCAAAGGAACTGCTCTCCCAACGTTCATTGCATTTAAGGAGCAGATTTTTCAGGGGATCTATATATGCTTCAATGACTATAAGATAGGATTCAAGGATGGTTGTCGGAAGGTTGTAGGTGTTGATTGTAATTGTGTGTACAAAGCTTGTAATCGTGAAGTGTTAAAGTATGCCCCTATATGTATCTATTAACAAGTTTGAACAATTGAGAAATTTATGTTTTTGGTTTTGGAAAGTTTCATCTTGTTTTATTGTTTCACACCCTCTTCTGAATTTGATGTGTCCTTGTATTGGAATGTTTGCGATTAAAGTTGGTTTGAGAATATTCCCAAGTTTCTGGTGCAGTTTCCAGGTCTACCTTTGCAGATCCATAATTTCCTTCAGATTTGCTGTTTCTAGTTTCTTCAAACTGCACTACAAAGTGAATAAAAGGCATTGAACAGAAGCTGAAATTGCATTACAAAGTGAACTAAATCTGTTCTACTACATAGCACTGAACTGAAGCTGCAAAGTGGACTATGTTGCATTACAAATGAACTATAGCAGTGAAAGCGAGCTGCCGATTGCCAAATTCTAGTATCCATTCCACATCCATCCACATACATACAAAAGTAATTACCGGATACATACAAAAGCAAAATTCCAAGGACCAAATGTTTGATTTTATTTGGACAAAAAGAAGACGATAAGAATCTATGCCCACATAATTTCCAACATTACCAAAAAACCAAAAACACCTAACTGATATCACATAATTTATCGTGGCTGTGCATCTTTCAATTCGGCAGATTTCGCTCGTTGTTGTGGTCATGCCCTTGTCGATCTCAAATTGTCGGTGCACCACTTGGCTCACCCTCAAATTGCACATTTTCTTCGTGGTAAGTAACTTCGCTCCACTTGAAACGCTGCAACCTATGTTTTCGTTCACATATCCCTTGCCGCCATGTGTGAGCCACAAGTTAGAAAACACATCTACAACACAAAAGGATCACACATTTTAATTTAACCACAACCCAAATGCAAATTAGCAAATCCAAACAGTATAATATGAAAGTAAACATCCCCCTTTCGAGGGGTTACGCAAACTAAGGCATTAAAACTGCATGCGGGAACTCTAATTAGTTGAATGTCACACAATTCCAGGTAGTTCTGCAGTGAGGCTGCACCCGTCCCAAAACATTTGTAAAATCTTTATTTTCAGTGAGGCTGATCCTAATGCCCATAAGATACTATGAGATCAGAATAACTATGTTCTTGGCTGCGTATGAAAATTTTTATTTTCAGTCAAAAAATAAAAAATAAAAACAAAAACAAAAGATCAGAAACATATGAATGATGAACAACAAAATAATCATAAAAGCATAAAATCACAGAAGTGAAATGGGTACGGCTTCAGCAAAAAAATAAAATAAAATAAAATAAAATCTATGTGATTTTCAGCACGTTTCTAAACTTATCGCACCCAAAAAAACACAAAAAGAGTTGGGAAATTACCTTCGCGTCGTCCGTCCATTAGCTCGTACTGTAGTGAAATGGATACGGCTTCTTCACGTTCGGTTGGGCTCTTTCAACAATCAACAAAGGCAGGAAGAACCTTGGCTGAGTAAAATTCTTTCGAGCTCAGTAGATTTAGTGGCTTCGATTTCGATTGTTGGCTTTGTTTCGATTTGGGGGATTTAGGGCTTCGATCTCGTATTGGGTGGGGGAAGATTGCAGGAGAGGGGATGAAATGATTTGGGGTTCAGTGAAAGTGAAAGGCGTGAATGAATATGGCAAAGACGTGTTTGTATCGGCTGATGTGGAGCTGATGAAAAAACACTTAACACTTGGACTGATTTAACCGGCCAGCTAGACTTTCCATCTACCACGTTGGTACGTCACTTAACAGATTTCAGCCGATGAGTAATGGGCAGTAACATATTGAAGTTCAGTGGCCAGTGGGACAAGTTTGGAAGTTCAGTGGCCAATTCGTGACATGGTACTAAATTCAGTGGCTAATGAAACATCTCGTGTAATTAGGCTCGTAGAAGCTTAAAGCTTGTCCTATCACCTAGACCCTGGCGATGATTTACATTTTTAGAGCACCGCACCATATTTAAATTGAAATGTTGTTCCTCATCTTTTGCATTTTTATGGTTATGTCCCCATATATTTCCATTGAATTTTACTCCTCAACTTTTTATTAATTAGCACACTTTGTTTATGTTGATTGCCAAAATATTCGTTAGAAAGGAATAAATATAATAGTTCGACAAAATATTTCTCTCATGCTAATAGAATATTTAGACAAGTTCTATCATGAAAGAAGATATATGCAAGAACGAAAAAAATTCGAGAACACAAGTACGAAAATGAGCAAATTTGAAACCTTTCATTACAATTAAAATATAGTGCAGTTAACTATAAATGGGCGTATATATAATTATGATCCATTAAGAAATTTAAAAGTAGTGGACACAATTATTTAAATAACTCTTTAACCATACTTTTATATTATCACCCATTAAGAAATCCAAAAGTAGGGGATACAATTATTTTCATTACCCTTTAATCATACCTTTTCCCCCTATTTTTTAATCAAATGGAAAACCTCTTTTTGCAATGTCATCAAATTCGATAGTTTATGCTAATGGAAATGGATGTAATTACTAACGGTTCAAGTATCAAAATTCATTAAAGTTGGGTAATTAATTTAGTAATAAAAAAGAACATGATTTTAGACTAACTTCTCCACAGGCATGGGCATTTCATAGACATTTTTCTTGCTTCGGAATTGGAATTGGAATTGGAATTATGTGGCGTGTGATTTAGTCAGTAGAGAGAGAAATGTAGAATTCAATTATCAATGAATAAGTAGGTATGAAATTGCCCTTAGTTAGAAAGTTGACATCTTCAATTGCTCACTAAACTTTAAAATATTGGATTTTGATCACTAAACATTTCAAAATATTGGAGTTACTCACTGAAATCTCACAACATTAATGGCATCGGCAATTTGAAAAAATGTTATCTTTTCAGTATTCTATGAAACTCGAAATATAAACTAGTACGAAAATGAGCAAAATTTCAAAACCTTCTTTGCAATTAAAATATGGTGCAATTAACGATAAATGTGGGATGTATATAATTACTCATTTAGAAATAGTGAACACAATTATTTTCCTCTCTTTAATCGTACCCCCCCCCCCCTTTTTTTGGTCAAATGGGACGCTAACGTTAAAATTGTTAAAATCTGAGCTTGCAATGTCATCAAATTCGTTATTTTGTTCTGATGAAAGTGGATGTATTCACTAATGGTTTACGTATCATGAGTCATAATGTTGGGTAACTAATTTAGTATTAAAAAATCATGATTTTAGACTAACTTCTCAACTACAAGCTGGAAAGTAGCTGGAACCGTAAGCATATCAATTATCATCCATTTTTCTTGCTTTGGAATTGGAATTTGAATTATGTGATAGAGAGAAAAATGTAGAATTCAATCAATTATCAATAAGCTTTTGTTTGATGGGATTAAAAATAGATTTTTAATAGAATTTGATAAAATTTATGAAATGCATGGTTGAAAAATTGATGACGCATGAAATATATGGTTAATATTGATTGTTAACTTTGAGATTAAAATTAGAATTTTAATCAATATCAAATATTATCCTTAGCTAGACAATTGGGCCCTTCTCTAATTGAAGGTTGCAACAAAGACTTTGACTGAAAGATTGATCAATAATTCAGTGTACCCTTCTGAAGCAGAGAAAAAAAAAATTACACCACAAACTCCAATTTGAAATCTCTCTCTCCCCCAAGCCCCGCCCACCCCCTAAAATCAATCGATCCCACACACCAAATTTCTGACGCAAGAAAAACTGGAAAAAAATGGCTACTGACGCTGGAAAAATCATACTGGAGAAGTTGTTTCCGATAGCCGTTGAAGAATTCAAACTTGTGCAGGGTTTTGAGAAAGACTTGGCAATCCTAAGAAATTATATCAAAAAGATCTACGAAGTTTTGGAAGATGCCGAAAAGCGCGAAATCACTGAGAGGGCGGTTGAAAGCTGGCTCAAGGACCTCAAAGATGCCGCCGATGATGCCAAAATTGTTTTGGACGAGATCAAATATGAAGATTTGCGTCGTACAATAGAGACAGAGGACGAGATTGGGTGCTTGTACTTCCCTTGCATTATGACATTTCTACGAAAGATGGCTCACAAAATCACTTTTCATTGGAAGATGTCTCACAAGATCAAGGGCATAAATGAAAATTTCAAAAGGATAAACAACGAAGCTGATAGCCTTGGCCTCAACAGAGATTTCACTAATTATCCTCGTTCGAAGCCTCTGGTCAAGGAAATTACCAAGCCTCTGGTCACGGAAACTACCAGCTTCACCGTTGATCCAATTGTCATTGGAAGAGTTATAGATATTAGAAAAATTCTGGGGACAGTCCTCAACTCAGGCGATAATGTCCTTTCTGTCCTTCCCATAGTCGGAATGGGAGGTCTTGGCAAGACGACTTTAGCACGCCAGATCTACAATGACCCTTGTATAGAAACTGATTTCCAAAAAATGATTTGGGTTTGTGTATCAAAAAATTTTGATCAGACGACGCTTTTCAAAAGGATCCTGGAATTATTATTGGGCAAAGATTTTGGTGGAGGTAGCAAGCAAGCTGTTGTTAAAAAGATTGCAGAGGAATTAAAATACAAAAGATACTTGCTAGTTCTCGATGATTTACGGAATGAAGAAACAGAAGATTGGGATGAATTCAAAAATACACTTGAGGGAGCTAGCTCTAGAAAAGGAAATTTCATCATCGTCACCACACGTGAGGAAAAGGTGGCATCTATTGTGAACACTTGCAATTGCCCATGTAGATTGAGGTCATTAACAGATGATGAATGCTGGCTCATAATCAGATCAATGGTATTTCAAGATAAAGAAGTAACGAAAGAATTTGCGATCACCGGATTGAAGATTGCCGGCAAATGTAGAGGTTTACCTCTAGCAGCAAATGTGATTGGAAGAGTTTTACGAGGAAAGAAAATAGGAGAGTGGGACTCAATCCTACGGATTGGGCTTTCAAATCTTGAAGCGGGTGAAAAGGGCATCTTGCAAGTCCTAAAGGTGGGAAAATACTTATCAATGTGCACCACCTCGGCGGGTGGGCCATCACACACCCACAAAGTGTGTGGGTCATCCATCGAGGTGGCACCTTGAGGTTGGGATGGTGCGACCGTCCCACCCAAGCCTAAAGGTGAGCGCCTAGTGTCTTTGTCAATGAAAGGATTTGGTCATAAATAGAGAAGATTTAGTCCAGCTCTGAATGGTGGAAGGATTTCTTCCGAATAATCAAGAAAGTGAGATGGAGGTTGTATGGATTGAAAATTTTTATATTTAAATGATAAATTTTCTCAAAATTTTTATAAAAAAGATATTTGCGTCGTTGCAAATATTTCCCAATTTATGTACGAAATCAATAAGTAAAAGGGAAGAAATGATACAAACGATGTAATTGTGGAGGTTCGATCCCAACCAATAATCTACATCCTCCGTTATCATGCTCTTCGGCACGAGCAATGCCTTTTCACTATATTGATTGACTTATAGTACAATCCAACTCTTTACAACACTTTCGATAACTTACAAACAAGGACCATCGATCCTTATACAATATTGAGCTTTACAAGACCTCAATATGACCTAAAAATTTAAAAAGTAATGATTTAACAATTTGAAACTTTTCTCTTAATAAGTATTATCACAAATTAAGTACAAGAGAGAAATAGGTTAACACTTAAATAAATAGCAATGAATGAGGCTCAAGTGTTAGATGAGAAAACTTTGATGAAAAAGATGATTTTCAAAATTTGATTCAATCAATCAAAAGTTTTCAAGAAAATGTTTGAAGAATAAGATGTAAGCTCAAAGAATTTTGCTCAAATATTTCACTTTAATGCTCTTTAAGAATGTTATGATGAATGCAAGAAATATGGGGTATTTATAGAGTTCAAAACGTCAAAAAATTTGTAAGTGCGGGTGACTCATGCGGTCGACCGCCTTTTATTCGGATGACCAATATATCCGTTTTTTCAATAAAAATTAGAGATCAGAACGGTCAAATTTTGAACTATTGGAAAATTTCGGTTGACCTCCTCTTCTCGCCGGTCAATTGCCTCTTCCGATCGGTCAACGAGCAATTTCGATAAATTTATGTTTTGACCTCGTTTGATCTGATTTGAAGATTTTGAAAGGTATGGATATTTGGAAAATATTTTCAACTAACTTTCATGATAAAAGATATTTTTCAAGTCAAATATCATTTTAAAAGTCATTTTTATATTTGATCAAATCATTGCATTAGAATGACTTTTAATGCAAAATAATAATAATAATAATAATAATAATAATAATAATAATAATAATAATAAATAAATAAATAAATAAATAAATAAATAAAATTCAATTTTGATGCCTAGAGAGATTTTTGAGGAGCTTAAGCGTTCATTGCCAAATATTAAAGTGTTAGTATCTTTACATTTTATCTAAGAAATCAAGTCTTTGATCTTGCTTCGAAGTTTGGCTCTTAAATTTTTGAATGTGTGATTTCGAACTTGACCTCCATCATGAGTACGATTTGTGATCATAGCTTTTGTAGCGACCCGAAAAAAAAAATATTTTGTGTCATTTTAAAATAAATTTTTTTTGTACTACTCGAAAGTAATTTGAGTTATATTATTACGTCCTGCGACCATTCCTAAGAGTTTAAATTAAAGTTTTGGTCACGATAGTAATGTTGCGTGCACTTGTTTTAAAATTTTGTAAAGTGTTGAAATCTCTTTTAAACGACAAAATTTTAATATCATTTGGTTATACTATTTTTTTTGACGACACACATTATGTTAAATTGCTACCATTTGGATTTAGAGGTCATGCACGTTCAACTCACAAACCCCACTTACTACCATTTTGATTTCCATTTTGTTTGGTGCACGTTCACCCACATTTACACACATGAACTGCCTATTTACATCAATTCTGTAAACTGCCATGCCGAATGTGTTCTACTCTATGAGTAGATTAATATGGTATATTTATTTTCTCAAAACCAATTTAGGGTGAATGAGAAATTAAGGTCAAAAGATGCCCACTTGATGTTGAAATAAAATAGGTGGAAAATTGGAAAATACCAATCCCACATAGGAAAACTAGAAGAATATAAACCACCTTATATAGCTCAAGTTTGGGACTTGGGTTTGGGCCTCAAGGGGTACCAATAGTTTTTAAGGGGGAGAGAACCTACATGCTAGTAGGTTAAGCCAAAGCCTACACGTAGAATTTCATATCAAAGCAATATCAAGCAGTAACAGTAGCATGCTTGTCGATTGCAGCCTGCAATTTTCCTTCCTTGCACCGACGACCCTACCACTTCTTTCCCATCCTTGAGGAACAAGAATGTTGGCATGGCCTTCACGTTAAATTCTTCAGCAGCATCCCTTAGTTCATCCACATCCACCTTCAAGAATATAACATGTGGAGTCTTCTTTGCAATTTCAGCAAAAATTGGGGCAATAACTCGGCAGGCCCAGACCACAAAGCAGTGAAATCGACCACCGCCAATTCCGTGGTTTCGATGCCCTTTCTGAAGTTCTCCTTCCACTGATCAATGGAGTGGCAGCTGATAACCTGTCCTTCTTCTACCATTTTTTTCCCTCACAAAAACCCAAATTTTAAATTGTGTGAAAAATTGGAAAATACCAATCCCACATAGGAAAACTAGAAGAATATAAACCACCTTATATAACTCAAGTTTGGGACTTGGGTTTGGGCCCCAAGGGGTACCAATAGTCTTTGAGGGGGAGAGAACCTACATGCTAGTAGGTTAAACCAAAGCCCATACGCGCGCGTCGCCGTCGCCGTTGCCGTCCGTCCGACTGGCCGACACGGTCATGGGTCGTGGGTCTTAGGCTTGGGCTTGGGCCAAGCTGATATATATTTTTTGGTAAAATAACATTTAATTATATTATTTTATTATTATAATAATAATATATTTTATGTTATTAATTTTTTTTCTTCCCCAAATTTTGACTGTCCAAAATAGCGGTTGACTGTCCAAACTGTTTGTGTCTTTTGGACACAACTTTTCGGCAGTTATGACTGTTGGGACACAACCTTTCAACATCTATAAATAAGCCCCATACCCCGATTTTTATTCATTCCAAAAATCAGAATTGATTTTCTACTCTCCCGAAATTATCCCTTTCTCCCTGTATAATTTCTGTTCTTATAATTCAGTCCTCGAAAATTACTTTTCGTGCATTTCACTCATCCAGTGTGTGGAGAGATCTAAACTTTACGGGTTCGTCGGGTCTTGTAATTTTGAGTACTACTATTACAAGACGAGGTCGTTGTATCTTGGGAAACGAGTGCTGCAATACCGTTAGTACCAGTGCGGGGCATTATCGTTTTAAGGAGAAATAGTCGAACTCTTGCCTCGACCATTCAAAACCATTCAAACATCGTTACTCTGCCCAAATATAAATTACGGTAACACTATTATTTGCCAATATCTTATTCAACAATCTTAAAACGATAATGGCAAGTAGTAGTACGTCTGTTGTACCCCCTAGTACGTCTGTCGTACCCCCTAACAATGCTCACGGGGAGAAATCGAAAAAATTCACGGGAGTGGATTTTAAGATATGGCAACAGAAAATGTTGTTCTATCTCACGACTCTGAATCTGGTCAAAATCTTGAAAGAGGATGCTCCAACTGTTGAGGAGAAGGAAACAGATTCTCAAAAATGAGCAGCATTCGATGCTTAGAGTCATAGTGACTTCTTGTGTAGAAATTACATCCTCAATTGCCTTGACAACACACTATACAACGTATATTGTTTCGTCAAAACGGCTAAATTATTATGGGAGTCATTGGAAAAGAAGTACAAAACAGAAGATGCCGGATTGAAGAAATTCGTTGTAGGCAAATTCCTGGACTTCAAAATGGTAGATTCTAAAACAGTAATGACTCAAGTCCAAGAGATACAACTTATCTTGCACGATATACATGCAGAAGGCATGAAGCTCTGTGAACCATTTCAGGTAGCTGCAATTATTGAAAAATTACCACCAATGTAGAAAGATTTCAAGAACTACCTGAAACATAAACACAAGGAAATGAGACTTGAAGATTTGATTGTTAGATCAAGAATTGAGGAAGACAATCGAAATGCTAAAAAGAAGTCTGGAAAGCAGCAAATGGAGGCTAAAGTCAACTTGGTGGAGCCAAATACTAGCAAGAAAAGGAAGCACCCAAATAATAGCAAGCAAAAGAGCAAGGCCAAGAAATTTAAAGGAGATTGCTATAACTGCGGTAAGCCTGGTCATATTGCAAAGGACTGCCGGCAGAAAAAGCAAAACAAAAACGACCAAGTGCACTTGACTGAAAAAGACAGACTATCTAACGGAGTGTTTGAACTAATGCTCTCGACTGTTGTATTTGAAGCAAACATGGTGGATAATCCGAGAGAATGGTTCATTGATACTGGCGCTACTCGTCACGTTTGTGCGGATAAGGAGATGTTTTCATCTTACACTCCTATCAATGGACGACAACTCTTCATGGGCAATTCAGCAACATCAAAAGTTATTGGTCTAGGTAAAGTAGTGCTAAAGATGACATCAGGGAAAGAAGTAACACTCATCAATGTGCTGCATGTTCCTGATATTCGAAAAAACTTGGTATCCGGAGCTCTTTTAAGCAAGAATGGGTTTAGGCTGGTATTTGAATCTGACAATTTTGTACTCACCAAAAATGCTATGTTTGTAGGCAAAGGGTACTTAGCCAATGGGCTATTCAAATTGAATGTAATGCCTGTACTCCGTGATTTTGATATTAATAAAAATAAATCTTCTACTTACTTGATTGAGTCTTCTAACTTATGGCATGATAGGTTAGAGCATGTAAATGTTAATACATTATGAAGATTAGTAAGTTTAGATTTATTGCTTTCAATGTCCTTTGATCAAAATCATCGATGCGAAACATGTGTAGAGGCTAAATTAGCAAAAACACAGTTTCATTCAGTTGAAAGGAACTCGAATCCTCTAGAACTAATTCACAGTGATATTTGTGATTTGAAGTTTGTGCAAACTAGAGGAGGTAAAAAGTATTTTATTACTTTTATAGATGATTGCACAAGGTATTGTTATATCTTTTT